CCAGCACTTAAATCTCTTCAGCCCCATCAGCCAACATGGTGTTGGGATCAGCCCAGTGGTGCTGGGATCAGCCCAGTGGTGCCCAGCCAGGCTGTCCTTGCACACACCTCTGTGCTCACAGGTTGGTCACCCTAACCAGCCCCACAGCATCACTGGGGGCAGACCTGAGCCCCCTCAGACTCTGGTTAAAATGCAGAAGTGATGCTGGTTTAGGTCCTGCCCAGTGACTAAGGAAATGCTCAGTCAGGCTCTGACTGAGACAGGACAGTTCCTCACGTGCCTAAAACTCCACGTGGCCCTGAAACAAAGAAAGAAGCGATTAGAGCCCGTAAGAATGAGTAAAACAACACAACCACCTGGAAAATATTTATCGTGAAAACAGCAATCAATAAATAATAGAAAACCCCAAACACCTTCTGCTGAAGGGGGAGAGAAGGTGGAGGAGCGGGAGGAGGAGGCTCAAGCTTACAATTCTAGCACGTTTTATTTTGTGTAAATTTATAAAGACAACAATCCTAGTCACGATTGTCACATTGTACAGCACAGACCAATACAGTGGCAAACAGAACTCCAGGCAGAACTAAGCACTAACAGTAGCTCAAATCACTCTTCCCTGCGATTGTCGTGTCTAGACTAACAGTATCACACTAACACTGAGGGCGGGGGAAATAGTTCACTATAAAACAGTGATAGAACATTTTTATAAAATATATTCCATTCCAATAGCTTCTCTACATACTGTATAACTATAAAACTCTCCCACAAAAAAATTAGTGTCTTTAAATATACATATTTCATCTGAACTGCACCAAGATTAAAAACAATTAAAAATATCAATGATTTTTTTTGTTGGGTTTTCTTTTTTTTTTTCTCTTCTCTTTACATTAACTTCACAGTATTTGTTTGTAGTAGAAGACAAATCCAGTGTTTAAAATGAGGAGCAGGACTGTTCTCTCTGGAGACAGTAACTGCCCCACAGAGAAATAAGCTTTCTACGAAGAGCCCAAGTTGAGTGGGAACATTTTAGTACTTCTCTGTAGAGCCATGAACCAGCTTGAAGACATGCTCTGAGCTATTGCAACTTCAACAAAAAAAAAAAAAAAAGAGACACACACAGAGATAGCCAAAAAAAAAGTCACCTTAAGAACAAAAATAAGTGCAAATATCTTTGTTTTACTGTAGAAATTCAAGCTCTGAGGAGTGGGAACACAAATACCAGACCATGAGAACAGAGTGCTGCATGATGTAGTCAAGGATGACAAAGTCTTTTTTTTTTTCCTTGTGGAAAAGAAACCAAACTTTTGCCCCATGTTGACTGCAGTACAGAGCATGCTCAGCATCACTTTCATCACTGATTTCTAGGCTAAGATCAGACACAAACTTGTTTCCACTTTTCCCTGCTCCATACTCTACTGCTGTTCTTATGGCACATCCTATTTTATGAGCTCCTAAAAAAACCCAGAATAAAAAACAAAACAGTAACCGAGGACTGAAATGCAACCAAAAAAAAAAAAAAGTGTCACAAGGATCCAAAATTAAGATTACCAACTTCAGCAATGCTGACTCTACGTTAAACTCTTCACATGTTGCTCAACATGCAAAACTCATTGTTATAAAATTTAAAGTGTAAAGGAACTAGGTTTGAAATAGATTAAACAGCAATAATTCCACTTCAAAAAAAACCAACAAACAGCAACAAAAAAAGTCTAATAAATACTATATCAAGTATCTTCAGGAGACAAAAAATAACTTAATTTTAGTAGAAAGAAAAAAATAACTTAATTTTAGTAGATTTTGTTCAGTGCTATTTCCAATCACAGCAAAAAAAAAAAATAAAAAAAATAGAGAGAAAAAAGAGAAACTGATTAAGTAGAATAAGACCACAGTACCAAAGCCACTTACGCTCAAGATACAGTACTCTCCCACAACTTCCATCTGTAACAGGTTCAGCAAAAATATTTTACAGTTGAGAAATTAGACTGAAAACAAAACCCCAAACTATAAATAGAAGCAAAATTTCACATTACATGTACATTCATAGTTTAAGAGATGACTAGGAAGAGGAGGCTGTAACAAGTATATCCTGATTTTCCGTCAGAGAGGAAGGACTTACTGGGAACAAAAATAGTCAATCCTATATTATTTCTGTAGGTAGTGCTCAGGTTTTGGACCAAGGAGGGGGTGGGGAAAGGCATTGGGAAGGTGTTTTTTTCTTCATAAGATGCAATACAGTATTTCCAGCACAACTGTTGAAGAGAACCTAACTCAGTGCTTCAAATTCAGTTTAAAACAAACCCTCAAGTTTCACAAAACAACTCCAGGAGTGTCAGGAAAAGCTGGTGAAGCAATGCTAACGCAGCAGAACAACATTCAAACCCCTCAGATATTATTCCTGTCCTGTTTCAGTCCCAGGGGCATGTACCTTGACTGAGCAATTTGACTGGGAGTGAAAAATCTGATAGTCACCAACATGCACAGACCAAAGGATGCTCCATTAGGCAAGAAACAGAGTTATCTAAGGAAAACTGGCTATAACTACAGGCAGTCTCAGTTCACAAACTACAAAAAACCCACCTAAAAATACCCCAAAAAACTTGCCCTGGAAAGGTGGGACACAGGGGGGAAAGTTGGGCCATGTTTTCCCTGCAGGGAGTTATCTCCAGGCTGCCCCTCAAAACACCAGTGACTGCACACGGTTTGGCTCAGAGGGAATCACCAACTTCAGCAAAAACAACAGAAAATAACCATTTCATGCTGCTGCTTTTAGCCTAGCAGCAAAGTTTTTGGATAATACAGCAGGGCATCTCCTAACACACGGTATGAGTTACCTGGGACTAAGAAAAACTCAAAGGAGTTTGATCCCAGGAAGGGGATTTGACCACCTCAGGGTTGCTGTGCCCTCCAAGGGAGACAGGATCAGCCTCTGGGTGTCGATATGGGAATGAAAACATCCATATGGTTTTTTTGTATGTCCTAGCGTGCATCCTTCAACATTTCAGGAGTGAATACACTGTGGGCAGAAAGAGGTTTTCTCCATCCACATTTTATGCTCAAGAGCAGCTTCTCAGTAGGTCAGCCCAGGGAGGAGGACGGGTGGGAAGGGAAAATATCAGTCAAGTCCTAAGGCAAAAACTTCTTTAGATTTCAGAACCAACTGCAGAAGCGTATCATAAACAGAATAAAGAACGACCAGTACCAAAGATGCAGCCAGGAATCCTCAACCCCTGTAAAATTTGGGCCAATTTAATGTCTTGTCTGCTTACCCTGGGAGGTGCAGACAAGTTCCTCCACACCGAAATGTATTTACATCACAGCTCATCTCTTCAGATGTTTCTCTGCAACACACAGAGAGCATTTAGGGGAGCTTAATGCAATCCAAATTTTCCTCTGGAATTTGCTGATAATCTTTTTTTCTTTTTTTCCCCCAAACTCAAATAAAACCAAACCCAAACCAATGAAATCCTGACCACGAAGCAACTCCTTCCAGCGTGAAAACAGATGCTAAATCACTGCAGAATTACTTAAGATCATTTCCCATCAATAATGTAACATGGGTGTGCAAGAGAAGGACCTAAAGGACAGTGCTGGGAAGGGAAAGGAGGGAGATGTAGAGGTGGAAGGTTTGCATTAAAAGGCCTCTGGAGTGTATACCTCTGCATCTTTTAAAGATCATATACCTGAAGTGAATATCACCCAAATAAAATAAAGGGAGGTGGGGAAAACAATAAAATAAAAAATACCCAAGTTCAGATGCTGCCTTTTTTTCCCTGTTTTGTTTTCAAAGGTCTGTCGGGGGGGGTGTGGGGAAATATTGAACCCAACTGATACACCACACGTCTCAAACGACCAAGGACTTGACAAGGCCACAATGAAATTTGCGGATGTGCCTGTACAAATCCCCCGACTGCGTGAAGCGTCTCTCGCACCACTTGCACCCGTGGGGCTTCTCCCTGGTGTGCACCACCGCGTGGCGGCTCAGGTTGTGGGAGTACTGGAAGCTCTTCCCACACTGGCCACAGGTGTAAGGCTTCTCCCCCGAGTGTGTCCTCTCGTGCCTCTTTAGGGTGTACATGCAAGAAAAAGTCTTCCCGCAGAGGGTGCAAGTGGGGACGGAGCCGTCGGGGGACAGGCGCGTCCTCGAGCCGTCCTTGTCGCGGAAGTGAGAGCTCAGGTGCAGCTGGAGGATGTGAGGGCTGGGGAACACTTTGCTGCAGAGGGGGCAAATGCAGATATGCCCAGGAGGCACGAGGACACCCGAGGAGATGTCCGGAGAGTCCATGTCGTCCTCGCTCTCGTCGCGCTCCGGATCCACGTCCTCCTCCCGGCCCTGAGAGCTGCCATTCCCCGCGAACATGTGTCCTAACCCTGTCACCAGGCTTTTGGCTGAATTCCCAAAATGCTGACTCTCTGGACTCCTGGCCTCGCCGTCCTCCTGATCTGACAGCAAGTCTTGTTCATCCTTAACAAGTGGCTCGGTACCCTGCTGCTGGCTGTCGGAAGCCAGCTGTCCAAAGACATAGGAGGGGTGCAAGGAATCTCTCCCCGCCACGGGCTTGAAAGACAAATCCAGCGCGCAGTCCACATCGCTCGGAGCCAGGGGATGGTTAACAGACCTTTGGGACAAAGGTCCTGCGGAACTATTGACATTAGCCTTTGTTTTTCCAGCTGCTGCGGCGCACGGTTCTGCCTCCGTCGGCACAGAGCTGACACTTATATGATCAGAGGACCAGGCGGGGTGACTGCTGACCTTTTCTTTGCCCGCCGCTCTCTCGGATTCTGCAACGCCGAATTTTTGTTTGTTTCCTGGGTCAAACTCGTGCACCAGGGGCACCACTCCGGCGTCCAGAAAACGCTCCGCTCTCTCCAAAGCCGCCGCCTCATCGTTCAGCTTCTCCTCCGAACACAACTCTTTATCTTTCAACTTGCCCTTGCAGACTTTGACAATGTCATACATGTGGAGGTAGCTCGCCGCAGCCAGCACATCTTCCACCGGGAGGCTGTGGAATTCCAGCTTTCCCTCGTACATGAACTCGAGCAGCAGGCTGAAGGCAGGGGCTGTGACAATGTCACTGTTCAGATGCACAATATCCCTTTTGTCTAACTGGTCCCTGTAGAAAAGATGGAAGTACATACTGCAAGAGGCAAGAACGGCTCTGTGAGCTCTGAATTGAGCTTCTCCAACTAAAACAGTACAGTCACACAGGAAGCCCTGGTGACGCTGCTGACTCAGACACTGCAGCAACTGGCGGCTATGGTCTGGAAACTCCATTCTTCCTTCATAACCTGTTCAAAACAGGAAAAACTTGAATGCTACTGTAAACTAAAGCCTCCTAGCAGCTGTAACAAACAGATCGGCTTTTTGGTAACCCAAGCCAAAGAAACAGCCTTGGAGATAACGTTTACTGTTAATTGTCTCTAATAGTTTTATTAAAGGGGGGGGGAAGGGGAAAAAAAAAAACAACACACCCCAACACAACATGCTCCTCATCCTTTCGCACCTGCTCCGAACAGGAAAAACTTGACTGTAAGTAAACAAAAGCTCGTAAAGCAGCAGCCCCTCCAACCTTTGTTTCTCCCACTAAGCACTTTCATAAAATCAAGCAGAGGGAAAGCGCACGCACATCCCCCCCGAAAAGAGGGGAAAAAACCCCAAACGCCACCCCAACATAAACTCCCAGGCTGTC